GTGTGGCTACTGGTACTGGTGGTGGGTGTGGCTACTGTTACTGGTGGTGGGTGTGGCTACTGGTACTGGTGGTGGGTGTGGCTACTGTTACTGGTGGTGGGTGTGGCTACTGGTAATGGTGGTGGTGGTGGTGGGTGTGGCTACTGGTACTGGTGGTGGGTGTGGCTACTGTTACTGGTGGTGGGTGTGGCTACTGGTACTGGTGGTGGGTGTGGCTACTGTTACTGGTGGTGGGTGTGGCTACTGGTGGTGGGTGTGGCTACTGTTACTGGTGGTGGGTGTGGCTACTGGTACTGGTGGTGGGTGTGGCTACTGTTACTGGTGGTGGGTGTGGCTACTGGTAATGGTGGTGGTGGTGGTGAGTGTGGCTACTGGTACTGGTGGTGGGTGTGGCTACTGGTACTGGTGGTGGTGGTGGTGGGTGTGGCTACTGGTACTGGTGGTGGTGGTGGTGGGTGTGGCTACTGGTACTGGTGGTGGTGGTGGTGGGTGTGGCTACTGGTACTGGTGGTGGGTGTGGCTACTGTTACTGCTGACAGTCTTAGTGTCAACGCTAACATTTACCTACAGTACTCAACACCGGCTCTGTGTTAACCAACCACTTTTCTTCTGTTCTAGATATCAGTAAACAGTTTTGCATTTAAAGAACTTTTGCGAAAATTGTAAACGTTTTTCTGACGAAATAAATTAGCATATTTGAACTTGAAGAATGAACTTGATGGTACAGGAACTTGAAGAATGAACTTGATGGTACAGTAACTTGAAGGATGAACTTGATGGTACAGTAACTTGAAGGATGAAGTTGATGGTACAGGAACTTGAAGGATGAACTTGATGGTACAGGAACTTGAAGGATGAAGTTGATGGTATAGGAACTTGAAGGATAAACTTGATGGTACAGGAACTTGAAGAGTGAACTTGATGGTACAGTAACTTTAAGGATGAACTTGATGGTACAGGAACTTGAAGGATGAAGTTGATGGTACAGGAACTTGAAGGATGAACTTGATGGTACAGGAACTTGAAGGATGAACTTGATGGTACAGGAACTCTTAAGAGTTGCATCCAGTGAGAGTGGGCCCCGGGCACCTAGTCACGCTGCTACGTACACTTGTGGGTGGAGGCTTATCCTCTTACTGTAGCTGATCACTTGAGTAATGTTGAGGTGTGGCGGGAGGCTGTCAAGGGAGAGAAAGTGGTTTGTTACGTCACGTGAGGCTGGGTGAGGCGGCGTCTGTATGTGTGCGCGCGCACCCAACACACACACACACACACACACCCACCCACACAACACATACATACATACACACACATCCATCACCCTCCCATGTGCAAGGCAGATTATGTCTGGATGCGTTTCACTTTCCTCCCACGCACGCACGCACACACCTGTTTTTACTCTCCGTGAAACTCCGTCATGGTTTTTAGCGTGAGTTTGGCGGGCAGGCGACGTCGTGTTGGGGAGCGAGCTTTACATATAGGTTGGTGTATGTAAGACTTGGGGTCTCTCCCCACCAACTCTCGCTTGACTTAAACATGGTGTTTGGAATTGCTTTTAACTCACGCAAGATTTCGCCAGAAAAAGCTTTACGGGCGCTGAATGGCTTAATGTAGAAAGTATTTATTGGAAAGTTTTATAATGCCTTCTGGACACTCTCACACAGAGATTTGTTTATATAAGCCCGTGCAGCTGTCGGCCGGCCGCCACACTAATGTTAGTTTAGTTCATTATTATGCACCCCATACCCATCTTGTGGGCGGTAGTGGAAAGGGTTACAGAGGTACATAATGGGCTCAGGAACTGAACCCCACAATTCATTTAGCTAAGCAAGTTACAATCTTGATGAGCTAGTTACAAAATTTAATACACATCGTCATATCAATAATGGGTTCGAGATCGACCACAAATACAGTTTCTAAATTAAGCAACTGACATATGTGGAGAGCTAGTGTCACAATTGATATGTTTGTCCTGCACACCGCCCCCCATCCAGTGGGCAGCGGTGGATAGGTTACAATCACTCAGTTACTACCTACAGTTAGCGAACTGTAGTCGCAGGTAAGACACTCGCCTGGCGTTCCGCGAGCGCTATGTCATGGGTTCGTATCCTGGCCGGGGAGGATTTACTGGGCGCAATTCCTTAACTGTAGCCTCTGTTTAACGCAACAGTAAAATGTGTACTTGGATGAAAAAACGATTCTTCGCGGCAGGGGATCGTATTCCAGGGACCATAGGATTAAGGACTTGCCCGAAACGCTACGCGTACTAGTGGCTGTACAAGAATGTAACAACTCTTGTATATATCTCAAAAAAAAAAAAAAAAAAAAAAAAAAAAAAAAAAAAAAACTGGGGATATTTGGCTAAAATTTCTGGTAGCAGATCATTTTGAATGAAATATTTACACATCGCTGGAACATTGGTTATATAATTGTCTCTGAATTCACGTATCTTTTTGCACTCCATCACATAGTGACGGAGGGTGTGCGAATAATTTTGCTGACACAGTTTACATTTGGTCAGGTCTATATCAGCAGGTAATGAGAATTCCCAGAGATACTTGTAACTGAGTCTAAGCCGAGCAGCAGTAACATCTAGAAGTCTGCTGATTTGATTGGATGATCCATATATGTGTGGCTCCTCTTGCATGATAGTATGATAGATGGAATTACTGGTGTCAATTTCACTTTGCCTCAAATCTACAAGATCTTGTTGAAGTTCTCGGTGTACTGCTGCTCTCAGATTGCTCATTGACAATCCAAGGTTACACTCAACGGCTCCTTTAAAGGCAGATTCTTTGGCTAACTTATCAGCTCTATCATGCATTCGGAGGCCAACTTGAAATGGACTCTGTTACCATCATTAATAATTTTGTTGTATTTGTGTCTAGCTTCAGATACGAGCATGTTACAGTTATATCTTTAAGAGTTGGAGCTATTAAGGATGATAAAGAGTCACTTACATATAATTAATGTATCAAGTTTGTTGACTTTGTTTAGATCTGGTCTTTACGAACAATGAAGACATTATCAGAGACATTACGATATCAGATACCACATACTCAGATCACAAGCTCATTGAAGTGCAAACGACCATCAATACTCAGAATAGACCTAAAACGTTGATCAAGCGAGAGGGGCTATTCAGTAAATTCAATTTTAATAATAAAAGGATAGACTGGGAGATAATAAACAGGGAACTTACAAACATTCCATGGGAAACTGTTCTAAGTAATACAAGTCCTACAGAAGGAATAGAAAAACTGACTTCGGAAGCGTATCAAGTCTGTCTGAAACATGTTCCTTTGAGGAAAGCCAGAAAGAGATCCAACGTAGAAAGAGAACGCAGACGACACTATAAACGCAGGAAAAAAATAACGGAACTGCTTATGCAGACACGAATTTCCCGTCAAAGAAGGAATAAGTTAAACAATAAATAAAATAAAGATAATAACAGGTAGCCACACAGTCAGTAAAGATGCTATCTCCCTCCATCCCTCAGCATTACTCCTCTCACAGTGCTAATTATCACAACAATCCTGCTATTATCACAATCCTGGTCATTTTTATCACAATCAGGGGTCATCTGTAATACTGTCATCGCTAAATAATAGCAGTTACATATTTATTTTGACATTTTTAGGCGATGCTGTGGTCACAAGCTGAACAGCAATGCCGTTAGTTCATGCTGCGTGTGCCAGCCTTGGTTGCACCCACAGTATTGTGGCTCTCACACCTGAGAATATTGCCCATGATTTTGTTTAAACATGGCATCTGTTTACAAGAGCCCTGAGGAAGCTAAAGCGAACCCCGTGTAGCCGCGGGCAATTTGAATCGTGCCTGGCACCCTATGGCGTATATATACACCATGCGCACAGTGGGAGATGTTACTCATGGCGTATATATACACCATGCCTAGTTTAAGGGGAAAATAAAAAAAATGAAGTTTTGAAAAACAGAACAATGTCAAAAAAGTTCGTTCAGTGGTCACCAGGTAGGCTGCTCCATGTTTCTAAACTAAAAAAAAATAAACGAAAAATAAAAGAAAACGGTTGAAAAAATTTGAAAAATGGACAAATGCCATTAAGGTTTGTTCAGTGTTTGTCGGGTAGGCTGCTCCATTATAGCAATCTTTCTTTGTTTCAAATGTGTTCCTTTTGTTTTGTATTTTTCATTTATGACTCAATAATGGAGCAGCCCACCCGACAAACACTGAATGAACCTTTATGACATTTGTCTGTTTTTCAAATTTTTTCAACCCTTTTTTTTTTTAAGAAACATGAAGCAGCCTACCTGGCAACCACCAAATGAACCTTTTTGACATTTGTTCTGTTTTTCAAAAAATTTCATTTTTTTTTATTTTCATTTTTTTATTTAAGAAACATGGAGCAGCCTACCTGCCAAACACCGAACGAACCTTTTTAACATTTGTTGTATTTTAAACAATTTCATTTCTTTTGTTCTACAAAAAAGTCATTGCTTTGCAACATCTCAGCAGGCACCCCTTTATATCCCAGCATCATTAGCATCTTTAAACAAAAACAACATAATTTATTTGCATTGTCGGAGGCGTTCGAGAGTGTGCAAGAAACAGCGCGACCCCACCATGTGGTGTCGTCGTTATTCAAACAAGCGGTCGCCATACGAAACGATTTTTCGGCGATCGGGCCAGTCGTTACCCAAAATGCTCGCCATTTGAGGCGATTGTTATTCAAGGTACCACTGTATATACATTTTTCTTCTGGCCTCCATAGCCAGAAGTTCATATAGTTCAGTGATTTATTGAACAATCAACCACAGAAAGTGATAGATTATTGTATGAGGAGTGATGCCTAGTCTCAAATGTGACCTGTGCACATTATACCCATTGTGTGGGCAGTGGTGAATGTTGTTGCAAGTACTTAACTGTTTTGCACTTGCTGGGTGAATTTCCTGGTTGTGAAAGTAATCAAAACTTTTTTATTCATCAATTGGAGGATATTAACTGTTAGTGTTTGGTGCAGTGCTGCGTTGTCGACGGTGGCGGCAGAGGAACGGAAAGTAGCAGGGGAGGAGAGACGGAGCCAGCGGCTGGAGCAGGACCTGGCTGCCACCACCCTCGCCAGGGATGTAGCCAACAAGGAGATCAGGTCAGGCTCACTATACAGTACTGCCACTCTTCCTAGCTTCCTTCACCAAACTTACTTGCTTCACCCAGTTACATTACATACAGTGTGTGTGTGTGTAATTTTTTAACCATTTAGTTTTGTTCATTTATTATGCACCACATGGCAGCCTGTCCTCATAAATAAAGGCCAAAGTCCATTCCATGCACCTGCCGAACCCTCTGTTTATGAATGAAAAACGGTTCACACACGACTCACAACTGATGATGTCTGAGCACTTCAGGAACAAGTAATTACCAAAGTATAATTACCCAAGTGTAGTTACAGGATGAGAGCTATGCTCGTGATGTCCCGTCTTCCCAGTACTCTTTGTCATATAACGCTTTGAAACTACAGACGGGTTTGGCCTCCTCCACCTTCTCACCCAACTTTTTCCAACCGTCTACCACTCTGTTTGCGAAAGTGAATTTTCTTATATTTCTTCGGCATCTTTGTTTAGTTAATTTAAATCTATGACCTCTTGTTCTTGAAGTGCCAGGTCTCAGGAAATCTTCCCTATCAATTTTTTTGATTCCTGTTACTATTTTGTTCATAGTGATCATATTGCCTCTTTTTCTTCTATCTTCTAGTTTTGGCATATTTAGTGCCTCTAACATCTCCTCACAGCTCTTGCCCTTCAGTTCTGGGAGCCCTTGTAGCATCTCTGCACCTTTTCCTTTTTGTTAATATGCTTCTTAAGATATGGGCACCATACAACCACTCCATATTCCACCTTTGGTCTAACAAAAGTTGTGAACAATTTCTTTAGTGTTTTGCTATCCATGTATTTAAAAGCAATTCTGAAGTTAGAAAGTGTAGCATAGGCTCCCCACACAATGTTCTTAATGCGATCCTCAGGTGATAGTTTTCTATCTAGAACCACCCCTAGATATCTTTCTTTATCAGAATTATTTAAAGATTTCTCACATAATTTATAGGTTGTGTGGGTCTATCTTTTCCTATTCCACATTCCATAACATGACATTTATTTACACTACAGTCTCCGTGGTGTAGTGGTAAGACACTCGCCTGGCGTTCCGCGAGCGCTATGTCATGGGTTCGTATCCTGGCCGGGGAGGATTTACTGGGCGCAATTCCTTAACTGTAGCCTCTGTTTAACGCAACAGTAAAATGTGTACTTGGATGAAAAAACGATTCTTTGCGGCAGGGGATCGTATTCCAGGGACCATAGGATTAAGGACTTGCCCGAAACGCTACGCGTACTAGTGGCTGTACAAGAATGTAACAACTCTTGTATATATCAAAAAAAAAAAAAAAAAAAAAAATTAAATTCTATTTGCCAAGTGGTGCTCCATATACTTATTTTGTCCAGGACTTCTTGAAGGACATGACAATCATCTAAGTTTCTTATCTTCCCTATTATATTAGCATCATCAGCAAACATGTTCATATAATTCTGTATTCCATCTGGTAGAGAGTTTATATAGACAATGAACATTACCAGTGCAAGAACTGAACCCTGTAGTAATCCACTTGTGACATTTCTCCAGTCCGATACATTGCCTCTGATTATTGCCCTCATTTTCCTATCAAAAAAATTTCATCCATGTTAGAAGCTTACCTGTCACCCTTCCAATATGTTCTAGTTTCCAGAACAACTTCTTATGTGGAACTCTGTCAAAAGCCTTTTAAATGTCCAGATAGATGCAGTCAACCCAACCATCTCTTTCCTGTAAAATCTTTGTAGCTCCATCATAGAAACTGAGTAAATTCATTACACAGGATCTTCCAAATCGAAAACCATTAAATCGGGCATATGACTTAGACAGCTGGAGACAAACACAGCAAACACATAGTGGAAGCTGCCCGAGACTTCGGAATGGCATTAGGTGGGGTTAGAATGGAGAGCAATATCGTAGAAGCAAACCCCGCATTGCTTAGGGCCGAAGGTGTCACATACCCCACAAACAGTATAGTGAAAGCAGAACACATGAACACATGACGACTCGTGGCATGGACGACGAACAACCCTCAAATTCGCACAAGACGACATCAGGTTCAGAGGGGATGTTCATAGGACCATTGAACCTGCAAGGGATTTCCAAGGCCTGAAGGATAAACCAAACAGAACATCCAGGCACTGGAATCACTGTGCCAGACCTAAAAGCAAGTGGACATAGCCTAGTTCACTGGGCTGTGAAGGCCGACCCCGGTGGGCCACCACAAGCAAAGAGTAAGCTCTAAGGGAGTGGCTCTTAAACACTCCAGAGAAGATAATTCTGGTAATACAAGGGCAATGCACAAGTTAAGTACATAATTTTGTACATAAAGGATGCAGGGAAACAAAACTTTATGGATAGTGAAGTATTTGTGAAGGAATTATTAGGTCTTGACAAGACTCATCTAAAATATCATCAATGTTATACAAGTAAGGAAAGCTGTTAAGTTCATTCGTATATTTGAAAGTAAATCCTTTAAAATTTAAACTATGTTCTGTGTTTAAACGGACTGATTGCATTACCTGAACTTGCTACCAATTTTAGTTTCAAAAGTTAAGACCATTTTAGGTTACACATGGGATCTTGGAAAATAATTAAAATAATTCACATATGAAATCTTGTTTTTCAGTATCCAAATTTACAGAACATCATTTACTTTACTGTCATTTAATCAGACAACTGCAGAAGGAATTGGCAAGCATGACTCAGGACTGCAAGAACCTGCAAGAGGATCTCGAAAAGTCTCGGGTGTCAAAGGATAATTTCAAGAAGAAGGCCCAAGAATATTGTCTCACTTTAGAGGAGTTGACCAGCATTCTCTCTTCCAAGGTCAGTGGTAGATGGTGTATAGTCCAGGTTCCTTAATTTAATCTTGCTCCAAATTCTCAAGCTCTGAATGGTCATCTTAAAAATGACTACCCATATACTGTATTATATCATGTTTACCCACATTTCTAGTATAATATGTGACTATTGTTAATCATTTTATTGCTATTGTAGTTACTGTTAACATATACAGTATGTATTTTTATATTCATGTCTTGCAATTCTTGCATCCATATCTCTCCTGCATTACTTCATAAAATGAAAAGGAACAAGAAAAACTGAGTTATGATAATGTGATAAGCACTGAGGAAGCAGAGTTATGTGTGATAAACAGTCTCCGTGGTGTAGTGGTAAGACACTCGCCTGGCGTTCCGCGAGCGCTATGTCATGGGTTCGTATCCTGGCCGGGGAGGATTTACTGGGCGCAATTCCTTAACTGTAGCCTCTGTTTAACGCAACAGTAAAATGTGTACTTGGATGAAAAAACGATTCTTCACGGCAGGGGATCGTATTCCAGGGACCTGCCCGAAACGCTACGCGTACTAGTGGCTGTACAAGAATGTAACAACTCTTGTATATATCTCAAAAAAAAAAAAAAAAAAAAAAAAAAAAACTTTCTGTTAGGAAGCTCAGCACCTGGTGGTGATCCTACATTCACAGTTTCAAGTGCTGGAGGAGCCAGAGTTCTTTGTGTCAAGGAGAGCTTGGCGGATCAGATCAACTTAACACTATCGTGCACGGCGCGTGAGCGCCGCAGACTTTGATGTCATGGTGCGGGCGAGCGTGCGGCGACACCTAAATGTTTATTCTGTACTCGTTTCAGCTTTCTTACCTTAATTCTCATGCTACGTTGTTCGTTTTGGTATCATTGTGTTGGCAATGGAATTGCCTACAAGTGTATATGCATATAATGTCCAAAAGCCTGGCATGACTTCCCACAGCAAAGCCTAAAGTTGGAAAAGTTACCCGTGAGCGCACAAAATCAGTAAAATGTGTATACTCGTTTCAGTTTTCTTACCTTAATTCTCGTGCTACGTCGTTCGTTTTGGTATCATTGTGTTCGCAATTAAATTCCCTGCAGGTGTATATGCATATAATGTCCAAAAGCCTGGCAAGACTCCCTGCAGCAAATCCCAAAGTTACCCATGAACGAGCACCAATTTGCACACCACAACCTAGTGTGCATACTCGTTCAGTTTGATAACATCAATTTTCGTGTTACGTCGCTCGTTATGGCATCAAATTGTTCAAAATATAAAGGCGCGCATTTTAAAACTAGTCTCATAATAATAGAGCAATAACTGGAATTTTAACAAATATTTTAATTTGGGACGCTCATCACAATTATTTATATCTTTCCAGTGTTCTGACATCAATTTTTGTGTTACGTCGCTCGTTTTGGTAACAAATTGTTTGCAATCTAAAGGCACGCATTTTAAAACTAGTCCCATCATAATAGCACAATAAATAGAATTTTAACAAATATTTTAAAATTTAAAATTTAGACCCAAAAACATATTTATACTCTTTCAAGTGTTCTGACATCAAGTTTCATGTTACATCTTTTACTTTGGTATCAAACTGTGCGCACTCTAAAGGCGCTTATATTGAAACTATCCCGAGGTTGATCAGATAAAAAATGAATTTTATACAAATATTTTTGGAGTGGATGCGAGTCCTGTCCACAGCTAGGACTCGAAGAGAAAAAAAGTGGGCGTGATCGGTGTCCAAAGCGAGCGATAGTGTTAAAACCTAAAAACCCAGAAAGCATAAGCACCAGAAAACAAGCCACTATTTTAAGAAAATTAGGAACCCTCAGGTAACTATGACATGAACATTGTTGCAGTGTAAGCTCCTTAACAGTATTGCACCTCACCATCACCAAGTGGCAGCCCAGGTCACCCGTAGTTTTATTACTTATATCTAGATTTTTGGGAGATCTCTGATCCCCGGTCTCTCTTTACTTCTTAGATTCTGATCCTAGCTCTCAGTATGCAAGAGTTGGTCTCAATGGCCTGATGCAGCTCTCAGGCTTGACTGAACCAGTGCTGTGCTTAGTTCAAGAAGCTACTTTGAGGGTCCATCCCAGAAATCATTATTAGATTTAGTGTTTAATGAGCTTTCAATCTTTGAATGGTGTCTTGCAGGATTCAGAGCAGTCAATGTTGAAGAAGCAGTATCTGAACCTGAATGAGGCAGTGTCATCGCTCAAGTCTCTCAATGCCTCCCTGGAGGAAAGCATTACATCACGAGAGCAGGAGATGACCAAGATGGAAGCTATGATGGCCAAGTTTAAAGAGGAGAGAGAGCAGCTTATTAGTCAGGTGCACATTTATTTTACTTCCATTAAGAAATAAATTACATTAAATAATTTAAGATATTTTTCCATCTGTGAATTCCACAAATTAATTTTACTGTACAATACTTTTGGGTAAACATGACCTTTTATCTTTGTGGCCTAGCCAAAAGTTTCTATGTTTGAAGTTAGAACTTAATACTAATCTTGTTTGCAAAATTTAGAAAATACTACATACTATTTCTCTACCTTTGAATTTAACAAGCTTTTCATTCAAATTAATTGTATGTAGAAAATGTAAAGGCATATATAAATTATATTGAAATGCAATTCAACTTTATTGTAATTTATTAATGATCTTAGTTTAATATATCAAATGAAAAAGTCAATATTCGGCACCTTTTATGTTATGTGCAGATGATGGAGGCAAGTCAGAAGTGTGATGAACTGGAAGACTCATGCAGAAAGTTGGAGGAAGACAAGTACAATGTAGAAAAGGAACTTCTCACAACCCGTGACCTAGCACAGAAGCTGGAAATGAAGAGAAGTCAAGCAGAGGGAGAGGTAGCCAGGCTCAATACCTCCCTGGAAAAAGTAATGCAACTATATTAGCAATATATAATAATAATAATAATAATTCATTGTCGGGGAACAGGCAGGCAGAGGGTATTTGTACATGTTACGCTTGTATCGAGGTCCACCCCCCCCCCCCCCCACACACACCTCTTTCCCCATGATTGACTTACTGACCCTTCCCAGGATGCAACTTTATAATATGCTGACTAACTCCTGGGTACATATTTATTGTTAGGTGAACAGGGGTACTAGGTGATATGATATGCACCCAACCATTTCTGTCCCGCCTTGGATTCAGACCCAGAATTCTCAATTGCGAGTCATGAACAAACCTGACTGTACTACAGGGACCCTTATAATATATAAATATTACAGGGACCTATATAGATATATTTACAGGGGTACCTTAGTTTATGAATTTAATCCGTTCCTGGAGATGGTTCGTAACCCGAAAATTCGCAAACTGAAGCAAATTTCCCCAAAAGAAATAATGGGAAATAAATTAATCCATTCCTGACTCCCCAAGAAATTAACTTCAAAGTAAATTTTATACCTAATTCACCCAAATCTTCACTACAAAAGTATGTACAAGTCATTACTTTCCTTCACTGATGACTCCTGTTGGCGTATGGAAGATGGTGAGGAGGGGAGAGGAGGAGGAGGAGAGGTAATTACCTAAGTGTAGTTACAGGATGAGAGCTACGCTCATGGTGTCCCGTCTCCCTAGCACTCTTTGTCATATAACGCTTTGAAATTACTGATGGTTTTGGCCTCCACCACCTTCTCACCTAACTTGTTCCAACCGTATACCACTCTGTTTACAAAAGTGAATTTTCTTATATTTCTCCGGCAGCTTTGTTTCGTTAGTTTAAATCTATGACATCTTGTTCTTGAAGTTCCTGGTCTCAGGAATTCTTCCCTGTCAATTTTATCGATTCCTGTTACTATTTTGAACGTACCTATAGTGATCATATCGCCTCTTTTTCATCTATCTTCTAGTTTTTGCATATTTAATGCCTCTAACCTCTCCTCGTAGCTCTTGTTCTTCAGTTCTGGGAGCCACTTTGTGGCATGTTATTGCACCTTTTCCAGTTTGTTAATGTGCTTCTTAAGATATGGGCACCATACAACCGCTGCATATTCCAGCTTTGGTCTAACAAAAGTCGTGAACAATTTCTTTAGTATTTCTCCATCCATGTATTTAAAAGCAATTCTGAAGTTAGAAAGTGTAGCATAGGCTCCTTGCACAATGTTCTTTATGTGGTTCTCAGGTGATATTTTTCTATCTAGAACCACCTCTAGATCTCTTTCTTTATCAGAACTTTTTAAAGATTTCTCACATAATATATAGGTTGTGTGGGATCTATGTTCTCCTATTCCACATTCCGTAACATGGCATTTATTAACATTAAATTCCATTTGCCATGTGGTGCTCCATATACTTACAGTATTTTGTCCAGGTCATCTTGAAGGGCATGACAATCTTCTAAGTTTATTATCCTTCCTATTATCTTAGCATCATCAGCAAACATGTTCATATAATTTTGTATACCAACTGGTAGATCATTTATGTTGACAATGAACATCACTGGTGCAAGAACTGAACCCTGTGGTACTCCACTTGTGACATTCCCCCAATCTTATATATTGCCTCTGATTACGGCCCTCATTTTTCTATCAGGAAATTTTTCATCCATGTTAGAAGCTTACCTGTCACCTTTCAAATGTGTTCCAGTTTCCAGAATAACCTCTTATGTGGAACTCTGTCAAAAGCTTTTTTTAGGTCCAGATAGATGCAGTCAATCCAACCATCTCTTTCCTGTAAAATCTCTGTGGCTTCTTCTTGAGAGGTTATCTTAGATGATTTCGGGGCTATTTAGTGTCCCCGCGGCCCGGTCCTCGACCAGGCCTCCACCCCCAGGAAGCAGCCCGTGACAGCTGACTAACACCCAGGTACCTATTTTACTGCTAGGTAACAGGGGCATAGGGTGAAAGAAACTTTGCCCATTGTTTCTCGCCGGCGCCTGGGATCGAACCCAGGACCACAGGATCACAAGTCCAGCATGCTGTCCGCTCGGCCGACCGGCTTGATAATAGAAACTGAGTAAATTTGCTACACAGGATCTTCCAGATCGAAAACCATACTAGTGGTGGAGCAAGATGGCTAAGTACTATACTGTATCAAGTTTGGTAGTTCATAGTTTTGTCTGGTGATTTGTGTGTTGCCAAATACTGTATTACTGAGGGAAGATGAGTGTTTAGTGTCTCCCTTTTATTTTTGGCTATTGGTTCACCTCAGTACTGGATCCCCAATTCCCCCCACCCTCCACCCCACCTCCCATGGCCATGGCATTGGCCAATGGAAGGGACAAGATGGAGTTTGCAAGGTCCTTGTTCTTGGATGGCACCGAGTAGTCATAGTAACCTCTTGTATACAGATGCCACCTGGCATGCTCAGGTGAACTACTTCAGAAAAGAGCATTTCATTTCACTCAATGTTCTATTTACACAATACAATATATTTCTGGGTAAAGTACTGAGCAATAATGTTCAGGCAAGAACTGGACTTTATTGACATAAGAGACTTTTGGGGGTCTTTGAAATACATCACTGTTTTCCCCAAGTATTATTAGCCTTGTATAATACAATTTCATGGAGAATGTACAACTTTTATTTCTGATTCATCTCTCACTCTATGTGAGAGCCCATTGTATACTGTATATTAAATACTGTAACTATTTCCAAATCTTTGTGTAATTATAGGATAACAATTGACAATTAAATAGTGTAATATGATGATAATCGTAGAAAATATAAATCTAACATTGCTCAGGAATGTCTGCAACCAGATGTGGTGTTTAGTGATATCTTTCACAGTATTACAACCCATTGTCCAGGTATTAGAACAGAAACGATCCCTAGAGCAGAGGTTAGATGCACTTACCAGTCAACTCAACAACGAACGCTCAACTGTTAGGTCCATGGAAGAGGTGCTTAATGAGAAACGAAGAGCAGAGTGGTCATCTGAGGCCAACAACAAGCAGTTGGAGGTGGAGAAACATCAGCTACAGAGGAAGGTTAGTTATACCTTTCACAACTGGAAAGTCCTTACTAAACTTGCTGTTAGTTCTTACCTATTATGCAGTACAGTGCTATATCTGTATGAATTTAGGTGTTCTAATGTCACATTTACCTTTCATTATTGAATAGCTGATTGAGCAGAATGGGTTAATTTCTTTTACCTAATGGACTTTAGTTTATTAGTAGTATATCATCTATGTATATTTTTAATAGCAATTCCCTTAAGAACTCCTCATGTTGCTTTATTGTTGCAGCTTCTGTTACAGCATACCATGCACCATCTTGATAAGGACAGGTTAAATTAACTCATTTAGTCATGTTAATTTGACTGTGGACAGCAGATTAGTAAAGCATAAACATTTAAAGCCAAGTAAATATTGAGAAATGTAGCATTTGTGGGTGTAAACTGTAAGAGAGAACTGTTCAACTGCTCATTGATGACTTATGAAAAAGTATGGCTTTGAATGTAGCTGTAAAGCTACTTGCTGAACAAGCCACTCAGTCACTTCCTTAGTCAATGTTCAGCTCTCCCTGATGCAGTAGGAATCATTTCAAGCGAACCCTTCTGAGGTATAAATAGTGGAATGATGTTTGGATAATTCTTAATCTAGCCTAGAATAATGGTAGAAGTCACATTTAATTGTCCTCAAAATGCCACATTCAAGCAATACTTAATTTCAAAGAGACTAAAAAGTATTACTCTGCTAAACTGCTAGTTGGCTACCTGGCAGGTTCCCAAGCTGATCATATGACACTATTAGTACTGTCAATAATGATAAGTGGGGACTATCCCTCTTTCATCCCACCATAACCTTGTAATCACAGGGTAAGTCAGGTAGAAAAAGTAGGACATGGGAGCAACGAACTGGCTTGCTCAGGAAGGTGCATTTATACTTAAAGCCGTATTTCTGAGCAGAAACCACTCTGGTAATCCCTTGGATAAAGCTCCCTACAATGTATATTACCTAAAAAACAGGACTGCAAATGGTGAGAAATACAACACAGAAGAGAAAAGGCAAAATAGCAAAACTCTGGTTAAACAGCAGAAGCCAGTGGGCTCATGCTTGCAAAACTGTGAGGCACTGCGAGAAGTGACAAGAGTAATCTCACCTGTGAGGAAAGACGGCAGCCTGGAGGGCAGGTCTCTTGCAGGTATCATACTGCCAACACCAAATGGCGTCATCCATTTAATGGGGATTTAGGGAGCAGACTCACGGATGGCGCTGATGTCACTACTTCACTCCCCAACGATGTAGTCGGGTTCGTAACAATGTTGTTTCCTTCTTTTCGGGTGATGTTTGGGTCTGCTGCTTCCTGAGGGGTCCTTGAGTTGCTGCTTGGTTGGTCAGGCAGAGGGTGCTTTCTTTTGTTGTTCGAATGCGGCTCTTCGTTGTTCTCTGCGTCTTGGCCTCCGAGGCTATGGACGCGTTTTGGTTTGCCCAGATTCCCTTACTTCCCTCCTTCTGGTTCTGGGGTTTGGGTCTCCTGGGTCGTTGACAAGGTCCTTTCTTTTAGTCTGTGGTCTTGTTTTATGTTAGGGCGCGTGGTGTCCGCCTCCCGGATCCTTCCCTCTTTTCCTTATCTGAGGTGAGGTAGCTCCGTGGAGCCGATGGAGCTCCCCCCAGAAAACCAGCGTTGAATGTAATGAAATGCCATTTCCGGGGTGAGTCCAGGAGGCTTCCCAGCATCCCTCCCTCCCTCTGGTCGGTGGTGTTTTTCTCGCTTTTTGATATCCAGGCTAAGAACTGAAGGTTGGGTCGCCGGCGGGTGGGTCTGGGGCTCCTCCATCCCCCTCCCAGGGATGTGGGGCTGTGCAGAGAGCGGGGACGACATGATGACGTCATGCTAGTTTGCTAATTTTCATTTGAGGAGTTCTGTCCACTTGTTCGGCCTTCGGTCGCAAAAGTTTTACCAGAATAGAGGTTTGTTTTGGGGTACCTACCTTTCTGGTGCCTGCCCCGGTCGATGGCAGTTATAGAATGCTCCCAACCACAGGGGGTTCTCTATAGACCATTGCTCTTCATGCCTCTTTAGAGGGGGCCAGGTTCTGGCTCGTGGTCCCCAGTAGGCAAGAACTCCATGCATTGACTGATGCCAGAAAGATATACATATCCATTCAGCCTGGATTGCTCTGGGGAGCCTCCAGGACTCACCCAGAAAATGGTGTTTCATTACATTCAATGCTGGTTTCTCTTCTCTGTAGGTAGTTAGCTTCAGGGAGCTGATGGGGGCTCCCCACAGACAACCAGAATTGAATGTAATTAGATGCCAGTTTCTGGGTGAGCCTCGTAGATTCCCTGACACCCTCCCTCCCCACCAGTCAGCAAATTTGATCATTCAAGATCTGGCTGGTAGAGCTAACGAGTGGGGGGTTAGTTGGACGAAGTTTTGCTTGTTTGTTTTCTTTGTGAGAGAGTTCTTTTGATAATTTGAGGGCGTAGGTAACGTTTTGCAACCAGGCAGTAGTGTGTTTTGAATCACCTACCTTTCTGGGTGCTTCTCTGGTCGATGGTAAGATGACAAACTTTACATTTAAAGTGTTCATGGGCCATTGCTCCCTGTACCCCTCTGAGGAGGCCAGATTCTGGATCTTCAGTAGTCATACAAGAACTCTGCGACTGATGACTCCAAGTAGTATGGCACTTAATCAGTATAGATAGCTTGAGGGAGTCTCATGAGCTCACCCAGAAACTGGTGTTTCATTACATTCAGAGCTGGTTTTCTCAGTTCTGAGTTGATCCCAAGTTTCTCTTGCCTGAGAGAGCCAGATTCTGATCCTGGCTCCCAGTAGGCAAGGTTGGGTATCAGAGGCCTGGTGCATTGTTAAGACATATCAGTATTAGCACTCTCAGTAGCTCAGGGAGCTACTGAGGGTCCAATAGCAAAGGGAATTTCATTATATTCAATGCTTGCTTTGTGTGTGATATGGTATAGAAAAAATACTTGCTAAAATGCTAAATTTATATTTATATTTCTGTACTACAACTGATACTTCTCATTTCAGAGCGCTAATCTGCTTTCCTTTAAAGCCTTTCAGAATATAGTAGTATGGAAAATTTAGGGAAATTACTGTTTCAGATCTCAGAACTTCAAGAACAGCTAGAAGATGAAGTAAATGAAGTCAAAAGATTTCGGACCAGAGCAGCACAATTGGAGAGTGATGTAGAACGGATGCGTCGTGAATTAACAGATGAGCGATTTGAGAGGGAACGAACATCACAGGAGCTACGGCGGGTACAAAGATTTCAAAACATTAATAGTGCATTAGATGCCCTTGAAACTGGATCCCTGGCCACCAAAGAGGGTTCAAGACCCCCGGTCAGGGTGTTGCCAGAAGATCCACACCCGAGTCTAGTCGCCTCAAGGTTACCCAGTAGATCAGAATCTCCACTTCCCTCAGTGTCACAAACAGAAGCTCACTTAGAGAGGCGTCGTAGTTTTAGTAAGGCACATGCTACTCTTCTCCATAGCTCCTCCTCTGACACAGGACTGGAGAAAAGTCAAGCTATATCCAGCAGTTCAGACTCTCACAAGGAACCTTGGAGACTTGCCTTTGGAAGCAGAACTTCACAGTTAGCATGGCAAAGTGCCAGCCAGGAATCCATCCACCACTCACCAATTGCATACAGAAAAGCAACTGAAGAAAGCCCTCCATATAGAATACTAACCCCTACTAGAGTAAGAAGTTCCTCCCCACCCCAGCAAGCCAAAGCTTTGACCATAGTCTCACATTCTCTGACTGAAAGAACATCCCCACATTCTCACCCAGCAGTGAGTGCAGAGGATGCCCCCAGTGTACGACCAAAAAATGCCAGTTCAAAGTTAAGTAAGCAAGGAGCCAGTGGTGGAGAGACTGACAGTTGGGACTAAGGTGGTGTGCTACACTTCTTGGTAGTTCTGTAGTGTAACGTATGTATTAATCTGGTACTTTACACCTGTTGAGGCACTGTATTTGCACTAGTACTGTATGCTTAATTTTGGACATACATCTGTGTTGTATAAATGCAAGAAAAACAGTTGTATTAGTTTTGTAGTGTATTGCAGCTGTGTAGTTACTTCTTATTGAGGGACTACTTTATATTTTAAAGGTCAGATATTTTTTAACGTATTAGTCATATTTTTTTAAAAGCAAAATGCCTGGAGAAATGTGTGACGTAACCTTGACTGTGTTAATAAGGTGCCTTCACACAAATTATTATTCTTGTAAATAAAATATTTGCTTGTGAGTGAACTTCAATGACATAAGCCTTAATATTACTTCTAAACAAAACTTCTTAGTATTCTTTTTATAGCTATTACTTTCTTATCTTGTAAAGATTGGCTTGTTCATTCAGCAACTTTTATTGTAAAGATGGTGGGTATAAATATGGATATGCAGTACATGTTTAGTACAGAAACACTCTTTAGATACAATATAACTACTTTGCCAACTACTGGTGCTGAGAAGACTTATCCATTGGACCAGATTGAAACTTCAGCCTCAAACATATTTTAGTTAGTATTTCAGTAGGTGATGCACTTGTAGACTTACATTTGTTTTATAGAAAAATCACTTCATTCAGTTATCATATATATTAAATTGCCAGAATCTTTTTTTTTTTTTTCACTTTAAGAGTAACTTAAATAGCCAAGGATCATTGCATTTACCGTACAGTATATGGTAAATGTATTTGGTAAATGATCATTGCATTTATCATACAGTATTACCATAGTTAGGTCTTGGTGTCATACCAGGTGCAGCACTCGTGTATGAGGCAAGTTAGGTCTTGGTGTCATACCAGGTGCAGCACTCGTGTATGAGGAACAGTATAATAGATTGGAGATTTGATACTTGTTCACATCAATCATTTCTCTACGAGCATCTTACGTTTTTCTAACAGGGTTTCCTTAGTGTGTGGAGTCTCTCTTTGTCTTGTTGAGGGGGCATAATTTTGGAACCTGTGCCCAGTTGTATGTTTTTGCCTCTGGAAATTCAAGGCTCTTGGGTGCCACTGAGGGGCTTTCAGAAAAGGAAGTTTTATTATACAGTGCTCTTTATTTTTCTTCATTATTGTAAAATATTTTGATTATACTTATTATTGTAGTCTTATATTTTGTTCAACTGTTTAAGCCTTTACATTCCTCTTATTATTAATAAACATTATTTTAACTTCTGTTAATTAACTCTCATGATTTTTATTATTTGATAAATTATTAAACAAATCTTACATATTGCATGATTACCTGTTCAAAAATTTAAGCATTTAACATACTGTATTTATAATTGCAGTTTTGTATTTTCCAGTCTGTATTGCAAGCCCCAGTATTTAGTCATTTGTAAGTATATCACAAATTTTCCTGTGGTGACCATGTTACTTGGCTGATACTCCATACAATGATTTATTGATCTGCTTTATTTACTTCAGACTAAATAAAAATCTGTGGAAATTGGTTTGGGAACTTAAGTTATTATTAGTTGTAATTGGAGATTCACAAAGGTCAGGGACTTCTTGATGTATGTAATTCACATGTTGTAAACTCAACCATCTTTGATGATTCTTTGAGGATTGCAGTCTTGATGGCTCAACATGGCATTCATTCTGGCAGCATCTGGATTATCTGAAATATTCAGTCAGGCAGTAGTTGGATTATTTAAACACTAATTGTGATTTTCATCATTAATTTTTTTCATTTATATTTTGTTAACTTTAGATAATTTTCTTGTTTAAAAACTTATTTTGTATTTCATGCCATAGTTTCCAGTCCATGCTGTCCATTTCAAAAGATAACTCAGGTGCTCTTGTGCAGTAAGTTAAACTGCAGGTGTGTGATTTTATCATAAGTAAACATATTTCCTTGGTGATCCCCCAGGCGCGTACAGAACAGTCTAATCATGCTGTCATAATTCTTGAGTTGTGAATGCAGCATGTAATTGCTACAGTTTCATAAGAATTAGTTGCTCACAAGTTTCTACTGGAGTTGAGTAAATGTTTGGTAAATTTTAATGACATTTTCATGTACCAATAGCATGCTTGTCTAATAAATTTAGCATACTGTATATTTTAAACTACTGTATACCTATACATTTCTAAACATTTATTCATTATGAATATAATGTGAAGGTTTCTTCACAGCAAAAACTTTAATATAAAGCTTTCTTTAATTGAGCTGTGTATTAGATGTAACTCATCTATGTACCTGTACTGATGTATCTATCAGTGAAGTTTACAGTATTCAGCTTGAGCAGAATACAAACTGCTGTTGCTGGTATCGCCTATATACTTAACATTAAATAATCCACATGCCAAGCACTTACTATAACAACATTTTATTTCTCTTTCTAGGTTCGAACTATGCTTTTATAAGAGCAAAGCCAGTTTTGAGGTGAACTGGAACTTGTCTCTCCAGGAGCTATTGTTTAATGCTTTAAGCCCTGTTTATACAGTACATTGTATTATAATTGTAATTATTGTTACTGTTGAGGATTCAATAACCGGTGGAATAGCTTTACAATGGAAAAAAACAGGCATAGTATCTCAGTTATTTTCAGAAAAGGACAGTTGATAGTGTTTTGGTATTCAGGGTTATATCAGGGCAGAGTAGAGAATATTTTCCATGCGCAATATGTGGAGTGTTAAGTGATGAAATATTATGCAGACGATGAGTCACAATAACATGACTGAAGATATGATAACCAAACCACACATCAAAAGATTGAGAAATGACGTTTCAGTCCGTCCTGGTCCATTATCAAGTAGTATCACATATGACCTGATAATGGTCCTAGACGGACAGAAATGTCATTGTTTCTCCATCTTCTAATGTTTGGTTTGGTCATCATGAAATATTATGATATGCTTATTTGAAACATTTCAACTGTTTTTGGTCACTTTGAAGTTTTGGGAAATTTGTTAACTGTAACCAAACATGTTTTTAAAAGCTTCAAATAAGAAAGATATGTACAGTAGCAAAGCATTTTAAGTATCATTTTATTTGTCATATTTAGATGAATTAATTTTGATCTCTTTTACTAGAGTATAGTGAGAACCTTGGCTAATGGCCTAATTGGGATTGGAAATGTTTGATCAAATCAAAATACAGTATTCATTAAATCAATTGTTTTTTTAAATTTGGGTTTCTTACTGCAAACAATAGAATACGTCTCTGCTGATGTTTGTGCACAAATATAAACCATGTAATTTATATATACTGTAAAGGTAAAACAGTAATGTATGCGATAAATAAGGATTCAAGTTAATATGAAAACTTCCTTCCTAAGCAATTAACTTGATTGTTTCCTAAGATCCACTGTGTATTGTACTGGAGTAGTAAAGGTTTAAAGGAACACTGGAGTAGGGTAACACTCTGATACAGGCACAACAGGGAGTCATACTGGTGTTAAGGAACACTGGAGTAGGGTAACACACTGATACAGGCACAACAGGGGGTCATACTGGTGTTAAGGAACACTGGAGGAGACTTGCTTCACTTAGAATGACCTTCAGAAAATAAATTCATGTAATTTAAAAATTCTTTTTATGTCCTGGGCATGATAAGTGACTAACAGTGAAGCACTCAACTATCAGTTAGGCCATCTGTTCCCTAACACAACCATCAACAGGCAGCTGCAAAAAAAGGAAAGGAAGCAAGAAAGTAAACTCAGAAAGCTTTTTATTTCTACTCAAAGCCCTATTTCAGACTATCCTACTTGGTTATCTACAGAAGCAGCCAAGCTCTACAAATAAATATTATAAGAAGCTAACCTGTGCTATAGAGTGGAGCATGAAGATGCATGTACGCCCAGGAGTGGGATGGTGGAAGCCTGAGGTGCCCGAAGGTGTCCCAGCCAAGGGCTAGAAGGTGGGGAAGAAGCACTCACCATAAGAGGACGGGCTGGAGGAGCTGGCACGGCGCCTCGACGTATGCCCCCTGGCCCTGTATCGAGGGCGACGCTCGGAGGGGAAGGGCGAGGGGGCTGGGGCGGCCGCGGCAGGGGCGGCCACGGCACCACCTCCGTCGCAGTGTCCTGAGCCCGAGGAGGGCCCACGTGCCTGCGCAATGAGGGCCTGCAGCGTCGACCAATCGTCTGCTGAAAGGGGTGGGAGTTGTGTCACTGTGCCACCCGTTGCTTTGTCTGAATTGCCCAGCTGAGGTGTGCGCCCGCTGTCCGTGTCCGAGCCAGCCGAGGAGGGCTCTGTAGAGGGGGAGGCAAAGCATGCAGGCTTGGTCCGCGCCCTGGCCGGCGGTGTCCGTGCTCCACTACGTTGCTGTCCTCGCGTAAACATACCTAGACAGGAAGGGGACCAGCATAAAAGTAACCCAGCAAAGGAGACAAGCAGCTGGCAAAGCACAGCCTGCAGGAGGCGAATGAGCTGGGGAAGGCTGACGAACAGGTCCAAATAACTTAAAGCAAGGGCAAGAGGCCCGTAACACAGCAATGGGCCCGACGCGTCTGAATTTACCCAAATCATAAAGGCAAAGCTCTAGTAAACACCTGAAGGAGACCAAGAAAACTAAGCAACAGAAAGAAAGTTAACCAACCCAAGGAAAAAACCCAGAGAAGGGAGGGAAATTAGTAGCCTGAATAAACAAGCAAGAAGCAAGAGGGCCGCAACACAGATACCAAGGCAAGCTAGTAGACCTTACAGACGTAGTAGCAACAAGCGTAGTTGAACGACAGAGGAACCGGGGGAAGAACATAACTAACAGCGAGAGCTAGGCGTAAACGAGAGTAAAATGAAAGGAAACCAACAACTGCAGGGCCAGAAGCATAAGGCAAGAGCCGAGGGCCCACAACTGCACCTCGCGCATCCTGGCTGCCTTGAAAACAACGGCGAAGGAAAGGGGACAACTAACTGTAGACACTGCCAAGGAAATAAACAAAAGATGGCAAAGAGACAAAGATAACGTAAGCTAAATGTAACATTTCGCCCTATAATAAAAAATTTTCTATAACAAACATAAATGATGCACGACACAAATGTAACCAATTAAGTAACAGGAATTAAATTGTGGTAGGCGAATGGAACATTTCGCCCTATAATAAATAGATAACAAATTTTTAATGACAAACATAAAATGATGCACAGCACAAATGTAACCAAATAAGTAAGATGTATTAAATTGTGGTAGGCTAAATGGAACATTTCGCCCTAGAATAAATAAATAACCATTTTTACATTAAGAAACGGAGGAGAAGCATAACATAAATATAACCAAATAAGTAACGTGAATAAACTGCAAGAGCTAAGCATAAACTACTGTAACTACCGAGGAAACTAGGCAAAAGTGCAGGGCCAGGAAACGTAAAGCAAAATAAGGGCCCGCGAATACTGCAAATAGCACATCCTGGCTGACTTTACTTAATAATTTACTTAGTAACTCTGCAAATAGCACATCCTGGCTGACTTTACTTAATAATTTACTTAGTAACTCTGCAAATAGCACATCCTGGCCGACTTTACATAATGACGTAAGGCAAGGTAAAAGTGAACAAACATACTGTAACACAGCAACGCAAAATTAAACATGCGACATGAGCAAAGCATCAACTGTCGGAGTAAATTAAGGTAGGCTGTTTGGAAAAAGGAATCCGTGGTAATCTGAAAGCAGGAGGCATGTCAGTGCTGAAATGTAGAACATAATTATGAATAGGGGCAAGGCATGGCACGTGATATCTGCAAGTACAAAATAAGGGATACAATCGGCGTGTATATATAACCATTTTTACATTAAGAGAACGAAGGTGATGCATAACATAAATATAACCAAATAAGTAACATGAATAAACTGCAAGAGCCAAGCGCAAAATACTGTAACTACTGAGGAAACTAGGCAATATGCAGGGCCAGGGAACGTAAAGCAAAATAAGGGCCCGCGAATACTGCAAATAGCACCTCCTGGCTGACTTTACTTAATAAGTTACTTATAACTCTGCAAATAGGACATCCTGGCTGACTTTACTTAATGACGTAAGGCAAGGAAAAGTGAACAAACGTACTGTAACACAGCGAACGCAAAATTGAACATGCGACATGCACAAAGCATCGAATGTAGGAGTAAATTAAGTTAGGCTGTTTGGCAAAAGGAATCCGTGGTAATCTGAAAGCAGGAGGCATGTCAGTGCTGAAATGTAGAACATAATTATGAATAAGGGCAAGGCATGGCACGTGATGTCTGCAAGTACAAAATAAGGGTATACAATCAGCGTGTAGAGAAAACAATAAACAATAAAACACTACCAAAATAACATGGGCGTGCGGAAAACCAAGGAAACTCGAGGGAGAATAAGCGTAAGGGCACCTCCTGGCCGCCAATCTAAATGGCAGAAGAAGGAAACGCGTAAATGAATAATTATAGGGAGGAATATGAGTCGCCCGTATACGTATAGGTACAGGGCTGGGCGAGGCGGGGGAGCCTCTTCCCGACGACGCTTCGACGCTGCCATCTGCTGGAGGATACCGTGCCCCAGGCAACATGGGGGCCACCCCCCTGTCCAGGGCACTGCCCCTGGATCTGGATGCCGAGGACTTACGAACAACGAGGGAGACAAGTCATCCTGGATTGCCGGCGGCAACGCCGAACCCAGGGCCTGTGGTGCGTACCATTAGACGTAAAACCTGCAGACGTCGTCGTGCTGATCTCGGGTCCGTGCTCCAACGCCAGCGTCTCCCTCCGATGTTGAAGAACGACAGACGACACAAGGCGGATGGGCAGGCGGACGAACGCTGAACTTGCAACGTAGGAGGAATCCCTGCGGGTCCATAGAATTACCCCAATCATCCCAAATCAGGCCAAAACTACCCAAAACGTATTAGCATTACGTAAGTAATGAAGAAATATGGTATATTTACTTACTATAATCTTGGTGCTACACGTAGAACATGATCAAACCTATTTTTTCTCTGAAATAATCTAATTTCATAACGAAATGAGACGTAAATATGTGAGAGGTGACGCCATAGGAAGTCGACGGTCCAAGCGACAATTGTGTGGAGCGACTTATCCAAGAAATATGGTCGCCAGGAGAGTGTTTGCTGCCATATCAGCCTCCTGTACACAGTGATCCAGTCCTTTTCGTTCATTGAACACCGAACCCTACACGCCCTCTGATATATTGCTTAATTAACAAATATTCACAAATAAAGATTATATTTGTATATGTTATCAGAAAGGCAGATATAAAATAGTTTTTGTGAATCCATCACAGAGATTATACCTTATTAGAGAGGAAAAATATTCATACTTTAAACAAGGCTTCATGGCCGACGCTCTCCTTACCGATATGGGAACTATGACCTTCCGAAGATCAATGTTAATTTAATCTAGATATTGTAATAAACGAAGTTTTCTATGTCATCATAAAGACATAAATATAAGCTGCATGTTAATACTTTGGCATAAATATAACTGAATTGAAAGTTAAGATATATGCCTTTTTATAGTTACTTGATGGCTCGCTCAGGGAGTGTGAAGGCCTCCACACAAGCCAATCAATTTTATAATTACTTTGCATATATGCAAAGTAACGCCATAGGTCTTTATGTCAGAATAAAGCCATGTAGACGATAATGTAACTACATTTCAAGGAAAACATATCTTAATATAATTATTAAATGAATGCAAAGTTATGGTTAAATAAATAGCCAATACCACACAATCGCCGGTGTCCGGACACATGAATAGTCGCATTAGGTGAAAGGAAATGTACCCAACCATTTCCATTTACCCAACCAGTTTGTGCACCCTATACTCATCCTCTGTGCGGTAATTTATTGTGCATCCCATACTCATCTTGTTACCAGTAGTTTGTGCAACCCATACTCATCCTGTGACCCGTAATTTATTGTGCATCCCATACTCATCCTGTTACCGGTAGTTTGTGCAGCCCATACCCATCCTGTGACCTGTAATTTATTGTGCAACCCATACTTATCCTGTGACCTGTAGTTTATTGTGCAGCTAATACTCATTCTGTGAGTCATAGGACATTGCGAAACCCTTTCTCATCGTGTGAATCTTTGTTTACTTTGCTCTCCATATTCATCCTCTGCGCGATAGTTTCTTGTGCAACCCATACCCATGATGTGAGTGGTAGTTTATTGTGTACCCTATATTCATCCTGTGAGTATAGGGTTCACAATTCTTGTTTGGATTCTTGTAATGTTATTTGTCTATTTGTAGTCACAGTATTTGTGCGCCCCTTGAGGGACTTGAATTAGAGGGGGGTTGAAATAGCCTAAGCTACTCTATCCCTTTGAGATTTATTTATTGCTTATCTCAATAAACATACTTGAACTTGAACTTGGGTACACAATGAGTTCATTTGTACTCCATACTCATCATCAAGAAGTGTATTTTACCAGCATTGTAATATAAATTAAGAATAAAAGCTTAACTGGATTACAGACCCATAATCAAAATAAGAGTCATCACTAATTATCATGACAAATTCTCTAGGCTACACTTCCGCCTTCGACAAGCTGCCGCCGGATGTGGGTATAGTTTATTGTACACCCCCGCACCCCCAGTCCTGGAAGGGCGGGCATTGGGATGTGGACATGTGTACCATTTCCCCCCCCCCCCCCCCCACACACACACACTCGATCCTCTCCTGTTAATAATAATACTAATAATAATAAAAATTAAAAATAATAACGTTAATAAATATTATAATTAAAACACTTACTGTAATACCCTAGTGCTTGAATGAAGGTGAAGGAAAGACCCAATAAATGTGTAAGTGTATTAAAAACCAAATTTTCGTTGGGTGAGCTGGCAGGTGAGCACCACTTGCCAGCTCACCCAGTAATGAACATCACCTGCACACTGCACCGAACCACTTGCCAGCAGGTGCAGAAGTACGATGGAGAGAGCAAAGTATACCATATTTCAAGTATAATATTAAAGATATATTTAGGATTTAATGTTTTCGTATAAAGTTTCAATAATACCTTTATTTGATTTTTTTGTATTATTTTCTACCACAGACGTGGCCACACATTAACAATGCTAACCATCATATATACATTTTCTTCAGTCCGCCATGGACTCTAACCCTTTCCACTACCGCCCACAAGATGGGTATAGGGTGCATAATATAAGAACTAAACTAACTCCATTGATAGGGTTAGAGATTTGTTAAACATATAGTTCAGGGATTTATTGAACAATCAACCACATAAGGTGATTGTAGTGTTTTTAAAATGCTAGGCTAAGCTACATACGTAAATACATAAATACACAGATTTACGTATGCCCTACATAAAGTGTTCGATGTGTCTTTTACATAGTGTCATTAACGTGCATTTACAAAGGTGAAATTGAATTCTGAACACATACATACACATATATTTGTCTCTTTTACTCTGACAAGGTGAGATAACTGATAGAGAAACTAGTGTGCAATTAAGCACTTAATCACTGAAGGTGATTAAGGTGCTTTCACAAGCTCAGGTTATAGAGTTACATCACATACATTCATTGTATAATTGATACGTTACATCGTCAATCTAGGGTACAAGTTCAATATATCATCAAGTGTTCCAGTACTCAAATAGTAATTACACAGTTTAGCATAGCGCTTCATTCATGTATGTAAGAGAGAAGATTGTTCAAATATATTACATGCACATCCGGTACATCGTCCACCTTCTTCTACAGAACCGTCGGTATACCACTGATACACATCGTTACCCATATTCTGAGTACTTTCAGTGATGCTTCACAGTGTTAACTGTTTTAATAATGTAGAGTGTACATTATCTTTCTTGGGTGCATTTACAAAATCAACTGCTAGATCCAAGTTATCCCATGGAGTAATTGGTTGATTAATCGTTAATTGAGTTGGGTACATATTTAATATTTTGATGGAGTTGGCTACCTTGTAGAACCAAAATGCATTCACGCCGAAAACTGTGCTAATAGACAAAATTATGTTAGAGATATGGGTCTATAATTATCTGAGTGTGCTTTGGGGATGGGAACAATGACACTGTCCAATCATCAGGTAATACTCCTTCACTTAAACTCATTCTGTACAACACTAAAAGTGGATTACCTGGTACTTGTGAGACTAATCTCAGTAAACTGTAAGTAATACCGTCCTCTTCAGGAGCAGTTGACTTATTTGATTGTGCTACACAGCCTTCCCGGCTTGGTGCCTTCTTTGGTAATTACTTATCAAAGGCAGCTCCATACGAGGAGCTGCCTCGTATGGGCCAATAAGTCTTTTGCAGTTACCTTCATTCTTATGTTCTTACTTACATTTACTGAACTTTATCATCATCATCATCATTTACAGAAAGAAATTAATATAAAAAGTAGTCATTTTAATACACAAAACAGAAGTAGATATTATGTAAATTATGATGCAGGATAGGATCACTATTAAGAACTTAATTATAAACCACAATATGTTTTATATCGTCAGAAATTCTGATACATACCATATATTTTCAAATATTTACAATTAAAGTATTTATTTAGGAAATAAGTATTTTAGTTACCCTAGTTAGCTCTGAGAACACACATTGTTGCAGCAAGAATTTCTTCCCACTAATCTGAGCGATGCTAATGACCCATTGGACTTGTCATGAACAACAATCAACTACAGCACCATCTATATCAGAAGATATTCAAAATATTCTTGATGTCATTCAAATTGTCAATACGAGAACAGAATACATAAGAGTTAGTTTAGTGATGTCAAAGGAATCATATTGACTGACCGAGCCCCATTGTAAATATCCGTGGCTTCCTGACCATAAAGGTACCGCCGCGGATAAGGGTAAGGAGGGTACCGTCGAGGGTAAGACACCGGATGTACCCCATATACAAGCCACACTAGCTATTAGTTCATATAAGCTGACAACTTACCCAAATAAACATTACTTCCTAATTATATATATATACATATATATATATATATATATATATATATATATATATATATATATATATATATATATATATATATATATATATTATGTAAATTATGATGCAGGATAGGATCACTATTAAGAACTTAATTATAAACCACAATATGTTTATATATATATCCTACTCACACTCATCCTAGCACAGTAATTTATTGTGCAACCCATACCCATCCTGTTACCAATAGTTTGTGCAACCCATGCTCATCCTGTTACCTTTAGTTTATTGTGAAACCCATACTCATCCTATGAATGGTAATTTATTATGCACCTCATACTCATCCTGTGAGTCATAGGACATTGTGGAACCCTTTCTCATCGTGTGAATCTTTGTTTACTTTGCTTTCCATACTCTGCTCTCCGATAGTTTCTTGTGCAACCCATACCCATGATGTGAGTGGTAGTTTATTGTGTACCCTATACTCATCCTGTGAGTATAGGGTACAAAATGAGTTCATTTGTACTCCATACTCATCAAGAAGTGTATTTTACCAGCATTGTAATATAAATTAAGAATAAAGGCATAATCTTATTATGTACCCATAATAAAAATAAGAGCCATCACACTATAATTTTCATGACAAACGGCCTAGACTCCACTTCCGCCTTCGACAAGCTGCTGCCGGAGGTGGGTATAGTTTATTGTACACTCCCGCACCCCCAGTCCTGGGAAGAGGGGCATTCGAATGTGGACATATGAACCATTACCCCCAACCCTTCCCTCTTAATAATAATTGAAACACTACACTACACACTATATGTTCATTTAATATTTCAAGTATAAGACTCAAGATATATTTAGGATTTAACGATTTAACATTGTCTCAATCATACCTTTATTGCACTTTATCATCATTATTTACAGAAAGAAATTAACATAAAAATG